TATATATATGCGCTAACTAGCAGTGCTCTGGCCCTTTCCTGCTGTCATACTGCAGGAACCCAACTCATTTCACGTGGCAGTTTTAAATACTACCCAATACCATATCTCAGCAACAACATAAGTTTGGGTGTAGGTCAACAGATTATTCAAATTGTACATTGGCAGTAATCCCCAGCACCTTTGATCAGTAAATAACCCAACCTTTAGGCCCTGTGTATTCAGGCAGGTATAAGACCTTAACACCTCAGCAGAGGAGTGTACAGTGATAAGGCAACTTGTCCACACCTCAGCAAAAAAAAAAAAAAAAGTCAGCATTTGAGGAACAAGAAACTGCACCAGTATAAACCACGCCTACACGAGCAGCAAGCGACTGTGCTCACTGCTGAATACCTAACATGTCCATAACTACACTACAGACATTTGAATCCTTTGAGAGGAATGTCTGAGGCCTAGAAAACAACTGGTTGCATAGCAACAAGTAAGGCTGCAGAAAATAAGGGTGAATCACACCCGATGGATACAAAGCACAACACTGAAACATACACAAAAAAAAAGAAAGAAGAAAAATGCATGAACGAGATTCCCTGAAGGCAAAAGAGGACATTCTTCTCATTCACACAAGGCCTGCACACCACACTTCCTCTCCTTGCAACTCAACATGTGATTCACACATGCACACCACTAACATGCATGCCGTCCAGTGCTAAGAGCTTCATGGAAATTTCCACTTTTGCAAGTCTCAGCCTATAAAGCTGAGGCGAGGAGCTAAGGTAGAGATAAACAGCTGAGGAGTAAGTAGCAACGGCGGCTCTGTTACACACGGAACATTATCCCAAGATTTACAACCTCCGAATGATAGGCCAGGAACAATGCAAAGCTGGCTGTAAACCAGAGCCGTATTTCACTGAACAGATTAAGCAAGCATACCTGTAGATAGTGTAGAGTTTATTATTAGATATTTTGCAGCCAACATCTTTGCAGCATCTTTGGTGACAGAGATTACTCAAATGAAAAATCAAAGCTTCCATTATCTTCTAGTACGTCTAAACAGATATTTTACACCCCCTGAGGGATGGACTCTCCTCACGTCTATTATGAGCAGAGGACATGCTGTGACAGAGTTCTGCACTTTTGGCTGAAAGCTGCTAAAACATACTTGGAACATATATATGTTAAGTTGGTAATGCATTCAGATGTAGATAGATGAGAAATGGCTGCAAACTAAATAAATAGCTAAAAAAAGATTTCTTTCTAAAAATTTTCTTTAAAGATTTGCTACTTCAAGAAAAAAGCCAGGAGTAATACTGATTATCACATTCAAATATTTAAATACGGCACTTGGATACAGTGAGTGACTCATTGACAGAAACAACATCTGACTCCAACCCAATTCTCTCATCTTGGCCGCTCTTCATATTTCGGCCTATCCCAGAATTCACATGTGTACTTACACTGCACGAAGCAGCCAATGGCAGGGCAGGGAGGAAATGGTCTTGGAAGCCTGTCAGGCAGGGAGCAGTGAATGACCATATATGGTAAAATCTGCAGTCAGCAGGACTGAGAGGCAGAAGCGGCAAAGGCAGAAGCAAAATGACCAAAGTGTGGGGAAAGACCCTGGATATCATGCACACCCAGTGCATTTTTGCATAAAGACACAGGAAGCAGCTACAAAGGCAGTAAAACCTAGTGAATATTAGACAGAGGAGAAATAACGTGTCACTGTAGAAATGCCCAAGGATTACTAACAGGCACAGGCTCAGCAGAGTGAATGAATGGTACCATTGATTTAAAACCCACACTCCAAATTTGATTTCTGTAAAGTGCTTAGAACATAAAGGTGTTGCTGGGTAAAAGTGTTTATTGAGCAGGATTTTTTTTATAACACTCCCATCATAGGATGAACAAATCAGATTTCGATTTAAAGGACTATAAATTAAAATCCACAGTAACAATTCACTCATCCTTCGCTCTTCGTTCGTGTTGACCAGAGAGGAGCCACCAGGATTTTTTCTCCCAATTACGAGCTAGCTGCTGTATTCACTTCTACAACTTCCTTCATATGGAAATCAGGGAATAAATTAGCAGGCATCCAGCTAAGAATGAGAAAGGGACAGATTGAAAGCATGAGGGAAGGGAATGACATGTGCAAAGCTAGACATCTGATCCCCTCTCTATAAATCTCATTTTTCTCTCAGGAAGAGGCAACAATACTCGTGGCTGTGCTGAGTCAGGGCGGCCTGCCGCACTAACCCACAACCTAGTGAGTCACAAAAAAGAGCCACCCCCACGAGGTCAGGTCACAGATCTGAATTTTAGGTGATGCTTTTTATATACCCAAAAAAGCAATTTGAGGACAAAAGAAATATTGCTCCCCCCGTCTGGGCTTGCATGACAGTAACAAAGACAGTGCATAGTTACTTATAGCTTAATTACCGGGGGGGGGGGGGGGAGAGATTGCATCATCACACTTCTGCTGCACCCCCCCGATGCACCCCTGCTGCACCCCCCCCATAAGTGGAGTAATGACAAAGGGCTGTACTGGGAGTAAGCATTGGGACAAAGGCCCAGAGCAGCTGGCTTCCCGTAGAGACTAGGAGCCACACAGCACAGGCAGATGGGTTGGCCGCACAGATGCACCCTCAAATTAGAAATCCAAAGGGGAGGGAGGTTGAAGACACTGAGGGGATGTGCACCCTTGCAAAAAAGTGGAATGAGACCCAAAAAACTGTAACTCAAGAGTTTTATCCACAAAGCAGAGCTGCATAAATGAGAACACAGAAAAACAGGCTCATTTACACAAAACTTAAACTTGTAATCCATTCATAACTGAGAAATAGCTTTTTCCATGTAGTCTTTTAGCAATGGCGTTAAGTGCAGAGATCAAATCTTTAATACCAATCCACTGCTCTGCAGTCTAGTCATACAATTTGCAAGAACAGACTTGTCCCACTTTTGAGACCTGCATTGCCAGCTGAGGCTATACTGAGATTTCCAGATGGACCTGCTTTGTCAGAAAAAAGAAAAAAAATCATTTGAGAATAGTAAGGTCATAAAGACTTGAAATAGAAGTTAAAAGGAAAAAAAATAAATTAATTGAAGCTTAAATCTTTATGTTAGTTGTAGGTTCTAATAACTGTCTTTTCCCATTATGGTTATCTGTAAAACAGGTTTGGTGGCACAAATACATGTCAAAGTATCTTTAACATGCATACATACAAATCTTAACTAACAGAATTCCCCTTTCAGCGCCAGGCCCTCAAAGCATGGGCTGCTCTATGAAGAAAAGACTCACATTTGAAGGACTAGTTTGTCAGGGTTACAAGAAAATACGTGGGAAGATCTGAAAGTCTCAATTGAGGAAACTGCCTAGAGGTTTTCGCTGTACAGAAAGACCTCACTGAAAACTTTTTTTTTTTTTTTTAAATTCAGCAGTGAAAGTAGACTTTGTTCAGGAGACACACCATTACTGTACTGCAGCATGGCATGCAAAGGGAAGCTCAGTAGTACACAGACACAGAAAGAGGAGGACCCAGGAGGAGTGTGAACCGGTTCGAGCTCGCAGCCCACCTCCAGTACAAGCTTTGTATTGAATGAGGTGCTGAGAGGTGTTAAGCTGTGTGATGACAGGCCTAAGGATCCAGTCTCCAGTGCCAGGGCTAGCTCATATGACATGGCAGTGTAGTGGTGTACACTAATTACAGGTCCAGGGTAGATCTGTCAACAGCATTGCAGTGCTTATGTCACTCTATGTCAGGGCCTGCTACTTGGCCACTGCCTGACGCTGACAAACAAACACAAGCAAGCAGCAATTCACCACTATCAAACATAACAGCAGCCAAGAGGTTTGTGGGACATGCCAGGACATTGGACCTCTATTGCGCCTTAACTGACCTAATTATGACACAAGGTAAAAACAAACGGAAGGCATGTACCCTGCTAATTTGTTTACATCCAAAAACTCATCAACATGGAGGCAAGGATCAGGAGACAGTGTAGCTTGCATTGTACTTGCGTGGCTTGTGTGAAACAACCCACTGTTAAACATTAATCCAAAGGTTTATAGTTCAACTTTATATTCATATTACTCAAAATATAATCAGGGAGCACTGAAATCATGTAGTATGATAAAGAATACGATTTTTTAAAAGTGGATGCAACCATGCTTACACATTCAGTTCACTCCATTTGCACACCCCAGCCCAGTCCAAAGGGCGCACAACACATAATAAACTCACCTTGTGCAGAGGGAGGACGAGGAATGCTCCGCCACCGCTGGCCTCAATAATTAGGGCGACAAACTTGGGGTTCACTGCACAAAAGGCGCTGTCCCACGTGACCCTCGAGACCCGGATATCATCGTAGCACTGGTCATTCTTCACCGCCTGGCCGAAGACGTGACGGAATTTGCTCTGCCGTACAACTCGTCTCATATCTGCAGAAAACAAAAAAAAAAAGGCAGAGAGCACATTTATTTAAAGACACACTGTTGCCGTTGTGATGTTGAACCTATTCATTTCAGCAGAGGTTTGCACAAGCCGCAACTGCAATATGCACCAACACAAATGTAGAGTATGTGAACTAGTGAAAGCCTCGAGAGGGTGAGACACCCAACGAAAACGTTCAGCACATTTGTGATTACAGACTGAGAACATTAGAGATTTGATAAAAGTCTGAAGTTGTCGCTATGCACAGTCTCCTTGTATCTATTTGGTCCTCAGAAAGAGGAGTTTGTCACATGCATGTTTCAGATTGACAGATTTATCACCTTTTTTAAAATAATGTGAGGACGCTACAGTGAAATACAATGGTGTGATTTCATGGTTTCGCTAATGTCAGGTAAGCACTTCCAAAAAGGTACTGTGAAACAGAATGTGTTTCATGAGATTTTAAAGACTTCAAACTATTTCCAGTGGGTAGCTGTAACCCCTGTCGCGCCTCCTAAATCTTCCATTGTGCCAAACATTAAACATCTGACATACTAACAGCATGTATCTGTGGCACACTTTTAGAAAGAGCCACTTCTAAGAGGGAAAAATAGGACATACCCAATCCAAACAAAAACAGACTCTGTGGCTGGTTCAGCTAAAATCTTTACCAAGACAACAATCTGTTGGCAGACAAAGGCACTCTGGAAAACATGCTCATTCAAAAGCTTCAAGTTCCACAGCTCTGCCTACAATAACAAACCACTTCCAAAGATAATGGAAAGCCATCCAACTTCAGACAAACAACTGAATGAGGTCCAATCTTACCAAAACCTATAGATAGGCAAACACTTGGGTGGGTTTCGGACTCCTTTATTCTACTTTTTTAATATTCGACATGGGAACAGTTTCAAAGCCTGAATCACCACGACTAAAGCATGGCACAGGATGTGAGACATGTTTTGAAGGAGGTTTTCCACTGTGTGCAGAGAGAGAGAAAGAGAGACGGGGAGAGAGCAGGAGAGTGAACGAGCAAGGAGGAAAGAGTGACTATGAGCGAGAAACACTTGTGTGGCATGTTTCCGACAGGACAAGGATCACAACACAAGCAGGAAGTTCGTCCTGTTGAGCAGTGGGAGTGTCCGAACAGCCCTTATCTATCGTAAAACAAGTATAGAATGTCATTAACTAGTAGAATGAATAAGTTATTATAAACCTAAAGAGGCTAATTTGTTCAAAAATGGAATTACATTTTTAATCTCAAATTGTAATCTTGCTCAAAACAGGGAGGAGTCCTCCCTACATTTATCTGGTTCAGGAGTGCACTGGTGTAGGAAACTCAAACTTGATTAGTTCTGGAAAGAGCTGATCAACTACATTGAAGTCCTTCAAAGATAACCAAAGGTAATTTTTCTGCAACTTCACAAAACCTTATATAATGAGCTAGAATTACTTTTCATGTGTGTCAAAAATGGAGAAGGAAAAAATAAAAATTAAAAAATGGGGGGGGGGGGTTTCCAGGAAGGCGATCGCAATCTGGGTCAACACTTTACAGGAAAAACTTGTGATAGGCAAGCCTTGTTTGCATACCTGTACAGCTTTGTTTGTCACATAGCTGCATGTCAGTAGAAACTGAAATCAGATGCCTCCCTGGAGGAAAATGTGCTGACGACACCAAAATATGAGGCAGATTTGCACGCTTTTATTTGCCCGTAGCTCTTTTAATTACAGGTGAATAATTTGATTATTATTTTAACGTTGTCCTTTTTTATGCATCTCTTCTAACAAATACAAGGAAACCCTTGACACATGAAAACACATATCACATGAAAGCCTACATGTGCCCTTGAACTCTCAACCAAGCGGTTTCTGTCATATTTCAGCCTGCTTAAAGATCAAAATGACTGGGTGTTCATCAGAAGTTAGTGAGGGTGGTTTGTGCCTATCCGACTACCCTGGAAAAACCCGGAAATCATTCATATGGTCGTCAAACCCCATCTGTATTGATATATACTGAGATGTCAAAACTTATCGTCAAGGGTACAGGGGAGGTCATCAAATGTTCTCTTTGTGGAGTTAAAGGAAATATTCTAAAGTCAAACTGACTGTACTTTATTCTGTGCAGAGAGATCAAAAACACATGAGTGGAAATAAACTATGTGCACCATATGAATTAGACAAATCAGACGTGATGGCGTGACTGCTTGAGGTCAGGATATGGTATGAATATTGGAATGAACAAAGAGTGCACAGCAGGTGTTTAGAGAGGGCTTAAACTCACTTCTTTTTTGCTTTTTTGTGGTGGCGGTGGTGATTGAGCATGTACATGATCACAAAAATGAATTCATACTTGGGTTTCCTGCATAGAG